CCATAACTTTATTGTTAGCTTCAACTACATAAGGCACTAAGGATGATCTGTTCAGATCGAAAACGTTATGCTAGTACATAAATTTTGACGACACTTTTTCAAAAAGTTTTAGCTATGTGTTTTATACCAAAATACAAGTGTGAAGTATTTTAACTTCTGAATTTTTAACCTATTTGACCGATCGGGGGGAAATTTCGCACAAATTTAAAAGTCGGTAATTCCTCGATGTTATTAATGTATTAATATAATGTATTAATAACATTTTATTTTGTTTATAAAAAATATTAATAATGTTCTGAAATTAGTGCAAAAAAAGCTGCTTTTCTATAAATATCTCCGTAAATTATTTATCAATTTTAATTAAAAAGATGGGCAAATAACGATGTTCTTGGTATAAAAAAGTGATAGAAAATGATATAGCAGGTGGCTTGAATGTGTTTTGTTTTTTTTTTTTCTAAAATTTTACTATTGGGGAGTACTATAAAAGGTTAGTGTTTTTTATTACCAATATAAGGACACTTATATTGGTAATAAAAACATATTCAGAATAAAAAATATATATCATAAGTAAAGAAAATTGAAAATTGTAGCCTCAAACTTTTCTCTAAAATATAAATATTTATAAATATCACAAACATGGTAAATTGGTTTCATATGTTGTGTTGGTCATTTTGTACATTTTCAGCCTACATTATGAACCAATCTATTGGCGCTCAGCAAATATTTTCCACAATACCCCAACATGCATGTTTTTTTAGATGTCCGAAAACTGTTTTAATATACAGCCTTGATAGAGAAACCTTACAACTGAACAGTTAGCTAAAATATTACATGAAATAACGGATGATCAAGCTAAACATTCCGAGTTTGAAGGAGACTCACATGCTGAGGATGTAGTCCAACCTAACTCACCATCAGAAAGTTCTTCTCAAAAAACACTTTCAAAACAAAAATATGAATGCTTTATCATCAAGTGAAGATGAAGCACCTTTAGATGATACCAATGATTTAAACGTGATCTAAAACACAAAAAAACCTATGGAAATTAAAAATTGTAATTATTAAAATTCAAGGGTTCGAGAGTGGTACCGTCTTCTAAAGACAAAGTAAGTTTCTTTAATGTTTTTTTAATGACAACTACAATACATTGTAAAACAGTCAAATTTATATGCTTTCCAGGCCAACAAAAATTTAGATTTGTTTTTCGAAAAATTTAAAATTTTCTTAGGAATTTTAATTCTAATGGGATTTAATAGTTGTTTACCGTCTATTAAAAAATGCTGGTCTGCAGATTCAAATTTTCATAATAAAAGAATTACTAATATTTTCCCTTTAAAGAGATTTCTTAAAATATGAAGATCCATGTGAATGATAACTCACAAATGCTAGTCAGAGGAACTCGGTAATTTGACAAGTTGTACAAACTGAGAAATCTTTGTAAAAGTGGTTGTACATAGTGAAAGGGAAAAAGCTAGTTTAAGAAACCTCAATAAAGAAATAAAACGAAGATGTAAGGCCGACAAAAAACAGTACTATCAAAGTATATGCAAAGAAATTGAGAGACATGGTCAGAATAATCAGCCGAGAGATCTATTTAGAAAAATACGCTACCTGATAAGAGACTTCAGAGCCAAAACTTGGGCCATTGAAGATAACACTGGAACCCTCAGAATAAACAGAGAAGACATAGCAGAGACATGGAGATCGTATTGCAGGGACCTATATAAAGATGATCAACGCCAAGAGCTTGTTAGCCAAATCTCTGACGAGGTGGAAGAAGAAGGCTATCAACAAGCTCAAACATAACAAAGCACCAGGTCCAGATATGATAACAGCAGAAATGCTTAAAGCCACAGAAGAAACCGGCGTAAAGTTACTTCATCTACTCTGTAACCAAATATGGCATTCCAAACAATGGCCTGAAGACTGGACAAAATCTACAATAACGATCATACATAAAAAAGGCAGCTTTCATAACTGCGACAATTATAGAACTATCTCTCTTATATCCCATGCCAGCAAGATAATGCTACATATAATTAATGAGAGACTGAAAACATTCCTTCAAAGAGAAATTCCACAAGAGCAAACTGCATTTACCAAAGGTAGAGGCACTCTAGAACACCTGCTGAATATAAGACAGATAATCGAGAAATCTAGGGAATTCAACATCCCACTATACATCTGTTTTACAGATTACCGTAAAGCGTTCGACAGGGTCAAGTGGAGACACTTATGGAGAATACTAAAAGAAGTAGGCGTACCACAACATCTAATTACGCTTATAACCGAACTATATGAACACACTACTGGATCAGTTAAAGTACTTGACACACTTTCGAACGAATTTCATCCAGAACGGGGTTGTCAGACAAGGATGTATACTATCTCTACAATTATTCAACATATATGGGGAGTATATTATGCGAAGAGCACTTGAAGGATGGGGAAAGGGCATCTCAATAAATGGTCATAAACTAAACAACCTACGTTTCGCAGATGGCACAGCCCTTCTTGCAAATAATCAAGCAGAGCTGATAGAACTTATACGACTGATCGAAAAACGAAAGTCAAATATTTGGTCTGCAATTAAACATATTAAAGACCAAGATCATGATAGTGGATAGGACTACACAACAATCATCCACACATAGCCACAATTGACCGGTTCGAGGTTGTGAGCTCATACTTATATCTGGGATCATTAATCACAAACACAGGGTCATTACAAGAAGAGATTAAACGTAGATCTGATCTAGCAAAAGTTGCCACAGCAAAAATGACCAAAATATGAAAGGACTGTCAAATTTCAAGAGCGATAAAGATGAGGTTGCTTAACTTGAGGTTGTATCAACTGCTTAATATTCCCAATACTGACCTACGGATGTGAATCTTGGACTATGAGACAATCGGGGCATAAAAACATCTAGATTATAAATATATTCGATTGACTCTTTTGTAGCAGCCAGGAAATCCTAAGGGTTGCCGTTATAGGATCTAATCGGGCATTCCTCTACCATGTGTTTTACTGTTTGCCTTTCGGCGCCGCAGTCGCAATTTGGTAATTGTATTTTTTCCCATCTAAAAAGTTAGTCGGAACAGCTGCCACAGTCCTTATTCTATTGAGTGTGGTCCAGATTCGTCTCGGTTGGTTAAAGCCCTCAGGTTTGCTTGTAATACATGACATGTTCCAGTTAGCTGGTGCAGCGTTATTCTTCCATTGTTCTCTCCAGCGTTCAGTTACAATTAAGTTTTGATCTACTAGCCTTTTTGCTGTTTTTTAGAGGCGGGTGTCTTGAACGGAGCCTATTTATGTCTCTGGCGGAAGTTCCGACATGGGAGCGGAGCTCAGAATCAGTATTGATTTTTGTAAATTCTCTGACAAGGGCATGTTCCGGCGGATGGGTGGTGGTTGACTCAAAGCTGGTAACCAGTAAGTGGGCGTAGCCTTGATTGTGCCCGATATAGTTCGCATGGCTTGGTTGAGTTGGACATCAACACGGTGAGTATGTGGACTGTTTATCCATAGTGGTGCACAGTATTCCGCTACGGGGTATACCAGTCCTAATGCTGTCGATCTAAGTGTGGGTGCTGAGGAGCCCCATGTAGTGCCGCAGAGCTTTTGCAGGATGTTGTTACGAGTTCGGAGTTTTGCAACAGTCTTAGTAAGATGCTCTTTAAAGTTCAGCGTTCTGTCAAGTGTAACACCTAAGTATTTTGGCTGTTTATTATATTTAAGAAGTCTATCCCCAAAATGGATTTGAGGTTGATAGTTGGCCATCTTATTGTACAAATGGAAGCAGGACACTTCTGCCTTAGTTGGATTGGGTTGCAATCTCCATTTGCGGAAATAATTCCCTAGGGCATTTAAATCGTTTGTTAGAATGCGTTCAGTAACCTCGAATTCTTTATGACTTGCGGCAAGCGTCCAGTCGTCTGTGTATCCAAACTTTTTTGATGTGGTTTCTGGCATGTCTGCTATGTAGAGGCTGCAAAGAATGGGAGCCAGCACGGATCCTTGTGAAAGTCCATTATTCAGTTTTCTTTGGGTACTAGTCTTGTCTCCCAATATAACTTTAAAGCATCTGTTGCATAGCATGGCGTTAATAACCTCAGTGGTCTTTCTGCATGGGATTATTCGCATTAATTTATATATTTCCCCTTGTCGCCACACAGTATCGTAAGCAGCAGATAGATCGATGAAGACAGCGGTAGTTTTTAATTGCTTTTTGAAAGCTTAAGTCCACATAATTGACCAGGGCGAGTACCTGGTATGTGCAGCTGCTATTTGGCCGAAATCCTGCCTGTTCCACTGGTAAGTGTTGGAATATGGTTTTGCTGATTCTATTATACAACAGTCTTTCGAACAATTTGTACACAATACTTTAGAGTGCGATGGGGCGGTAGTTTTTTGGTGAATTCGATGGTGAATGAAGTTATTTTATTTTTTTTTACGCATCCATAGTAAATTCTTACATACTTTATAAAGAATCCCTTGGGCCAGAATTTCTCAACCTTTTACAAGTTGCGACCCAATTTTATATAATTATTTTCACCGCGTCCCCCTCATACCATAAAAAGTTTAAGGGGGGTGGTAGTACATGAACTTTTTTCGGTGGTACCGATAAAGTATATTTATTTGTCAAATTTTTTAGCCAGTCGCTCTGGATCCGCCCTTGCACTAAACTTACAGTTAAATCTTCATTACTAAATTACCGATAATAAGTAAATTTATTGATATGTGGCAACACCAATCCAGAACCGATCGTCTCTCTTCGCGAGAAGTTCCGAGTTTCGAGTTCTCCTCTCTTTTCCTCAGACCCAGACCTTGAGAATTCTTCGAGTTAAAATGAAAATCACATGGAAAACAGCAATCATTTAAAAAAAACTTTGACTGTGAATGAAAATGCTTTACTTGCCTCTTATAAAACCTCCCATTAAATAGCTAGATGTAAAAAGCCTCACACTATTGGTAAAGAGTTTATTTTGCCAGCTGCAATTCAAATTGTAGTAACTATGTTTGGAGATAATTTTGCCAAAAAATTGAAGTTAATACCCCTATCAAAATGATACTGTTGCCCGTCGAATTTGTAATATTGCTGAAGATGTACAGGATCAGCTACTCGGGAAGTTGCGCGACAAGCTGTTTTCGATTCAGCTTGCTAAGACAACAGATTGCAATAAATATGCTCATTTTATTGTTTACGTTCGATTTTGTGATGGCATATCATTAGTAGAAGAACTACTTTTTTGCAAACCAATAGAACTGAAAGCAACATCGCTTGCTTTATTTGCTATCTTAAACGATTATATAAATGAAGCAAAAATAGAGTGAAATAATTGAGTCGAAATATGCACAGATGGTGCTCGTGCAATGTCGGGAAAATTTCATAGTCTACAAGCGCTTGTGAATTAAAAGTCTCCAATGTGTATATGGACACACTGTATAATCCACAGAGAAGCTCGGCTTCCAAAGAACTGTCCTCCACTTTGTTAAGACATGGGTGCATTACATTCAGCATTATTATTTTATTGTGAGGCAAGATGGTTATCACGTGGGAAATTTTTACAACATATTTTTGAATTAAGACATGAAATCGCTAGTTTTCTAGAAGAAGAAAATAGACCGGAAGCCGAGATGTTATTTTTGATGAAATTGAGCTACTTTTTTTGTAAAAAAATTTTTTTACACAAAATAGTTTTTTGTAAAAAATTTGAATTGTGGAGCAGAAATTTAAAGCAAAAAAAAACAGAAATGTTTGTATATGTGTATGAATGTATTAAAACGTACAAGGTTAAAGAACAACACGTGAAAGTTGTTTTTGTACCCATTGAAAATCATTTAGCGATGCTAACTAAAAATTTTAAAAGATAGTTTTTGCCGACGACAAATAAATACGTAGTTATAAAAAGAGCTAAGAACATCTATTTCTAATATTACACCCCGTTTCGATTAACTTTGCTCTACAAATAAAGCTCAAAAAAGTCACTAATTTATTATTAAACTTGTTCATAATTTAGTGTTCACTGCTCTTTATAATTATACCTGTTATATCAATGTACTACGGAAGCTTAAGTACTTCGGACATGTCATGAGGCATACTAAGTACCGGCTGCTAGAGTTAATAGTCCAAGGAAGAATCGACATCGACAGTAGGAGGGACCGGAAAGAAGACGACACTCATGGATGCATAACCTGCGACAATGGTTTGGAATAACATCGACCGAACTGTTCAGAGGTGCCGTAAACAAAGTCAAAATAGCCTTGTTAATAGCCAACGTCCGAAACGGACAGGGCAAAGGAAGAAGAAGAAGAAGAATATCAATGTGTATTTTATTTTTTATTTTGTAAGAATTTTGCTTTGCTTTGCTTTTAGTAAATTAGTCAATGTTCTTGATGTTTTTTTGGAATAGGCTAGCGCCCCCTATTAATAATACCGCGCCCCACAGGTTGAGAATCATTGCCTTGGGCTAAGTAACATTAGAGAAAAAACAGTATTTCGCCTAGAATAAGATACAAATTGGCTACCAAAGATTTTTCTGCGAGAAAAAATATTGGAAGGCCATTGAGCATGAAGTATTTTTAAAATGTTAAAAAACGATGCTCGCAGTGCTAAAAAACGGGATTACAGAAATGCAGTGATACAGAGTGCGTAGACTGTAAGCTGTCTTTGTGCTTGGATTGTTTTATACCATTTCATCATTTAAGTGCTTGAACTATTATTTTTAACCCAGAGATATTACTACCGTCCTTTTAAAAGGCATTGTAAATTATGCGTAATTTAGGTTAGTACAGCTACCAACTGATAGATGGCTCTAGATGGAGTGTTTTCAAGAGCCATCATTCGACAAGTTTTAACGATTTTAATGGGACATGCTGTAATTGTGAGGTTATCTGTGTAAATTGACAGGTTTTGGACTACAAAATGGATGCTTATAATTGGAGGTAAGTCTAGAATTAAAAAACTGTTATTTCACGGCATTGCATGTGGATTATTGTATAATAGGGACTTATGTACGTATATTTTTGGCTTGAATAGTTGTCACGTTGTTTCAAAGGCTCGCCGCTTGAGATTTCATTTTGTTCTTTTAAAAGGCCGGTAGTAATTAGTACTACCAACGTGCGTATTGTTTCAGGAGGCCTCTCAAATTGCATGAGCTATTAGACGAGCTTGATTCTGATGAAATCCCAGTTCCTGCAGATGGTTTGATCATATTTCCCCCAGAAAATGCCAATGATGATGTCACCGATTGCGACTCCGGCGATGAAGAACTAACTACAATAAATAATTTACGGGTAGTCAGATGAGAAACGATGTAGAACTTGTTTTTGACAACGCGACTGAATTACCACAAGATTCTGTGAATTCCAGCCTACCAGAAGAAGATTCGGATGATGACAATATACCATTGGCTTTGTTTCTTTCCAAGGAAAAGCTGCCTCATCAATTAGAGAAGAGAATATCTGCACACTGGATTCAAGGAGACTTGTATCAACACCCTGATTGTACTTACTGGAAAACTCAATTTGGACCGAAAATGACTCAGTCGCCGATGGAAATTTTCAATTTGTTTTTTGATAATGAAGTCATCAATTTGTGTCATGTCACCGAATACACTAACATCTACGCAGAACAAAGAAATCTTTTGAACGACATTACTCAAAATGAGATTCGATGTTTTATAGGCGTTGTTGTATTGAGTGGTTATGTGGTTGTGCCGAAAAGGTACATGTACTGGGAAAATCGTGACGATTCGCACAATGCAATGGTGGTAAATGCCATATCTAGGGATAGATTTTCCCACATAATGAAAGTTTTGCATGCTTGCAATAACTTGTCATTAGATAAATTTGATAGATTTGCCAAGATGCGACCCCTGTTCGACGTAATAAACAAAAAATTTATACAATTTTCCCTTTAGAACAACATCACAGCATAAATGAGGCAATGGTTCCGTATTTTGGTCGCCATCCCACAAAACAATTCATCAGGGGAAAACCAATCCGTTGGGGGTACAAAATGTGGGTGGGAGCCCTTCGTCTGGGATACATAATTTGGTTTTCTCCTTACCAAGGTAATTCCACTACAATACCTAAACAATATAAAGTCCTTGGATTGGGTGCATCAGTAGTTCTATCCTATGCAGACAGATTGAATGAAGTATGGCCTCAAAGGCGATTCCATCTTATTTTTGATAATTATTTTACTTCTATTCATTTACTGCATGAGCTAAAACAAAGAGGCATATTTGGTACAGGCACTGTAAGGGAAAATCGCACCATGAAATGCCCTTTACCCTGTTCATCTATTATGAAAAAAACTGAACGTGGTAAATACGAGTATCGTCTTGATAAAAATACAGGAATAGTGGTTTGCCGCTGCATGATAATAATATCGTTTCTATTGCTTCCAATTTTGTACCAGTAAGGCCTTGCTTCTCTGTAAAGAGATTTTCACAAGCAGAGAAAAAAACATATTCAAGTTCCTCAACCAAATATTGTTAGAATATACAATAACTTCATGGGTGGCGTTGATCGCAGTGACCAGAACATCAGTTTAGATCGAGTGTCCATAAGAGGAAAGAAATGGTATTTTCCCCTTTTTGCTCATTGCGTTGATATGGCTATTCAAAATGCGTGGCAGATTCACAAAACTCAAGACGGTAAACTAGATCAACTTGAATTTAGAAGATCTGTTGCAACTAATATTTTGGAAACTTTTAAAAAAGAAACAAAACGCGGACCTTCTAAGTGGAGTTCGAATTCGGTAGCCAATTCAAGATATGACGGTATTAACCACTTGGTTCTTTATCAAGAAAAGCAATCGCGATGTGGATATTGTCACAAAAAAGTCCAGTTTTTGTGTGAAAAGTGCAAAATACCTTTACATTCAAATTTTGTTTTAAATCCTTTCATTCTTTGTAATATAACACTAATAAAATATATATGATATCTGGTACTGTATATTACTACCGTCCTTTTAAAAGAACATGTCAAAACTTGACAGGTATCGTCATAAAAAAATATAGGATTGTGTTTTTGGTTCCATATGCTATAATTTCCATGAAAATTCGAAATTAATTCAAAATGTTAACAATAAAAGTTTCAGTAATATCTGGGTTAATATTGTGCAGTATTTGTGCAATATTGTGCAGTATTTTTGTATTATTTAAAGGTCTATACCTATTACTGATACTTTGTTCATCATAATAAGTTTGTGACTTAATGGGTTAAATGAATAATTAATTTATAATTATTTGTTAAATAGACGACACTTTAGGAAAAAAATAGAGAAACACTTACAGTAGTTACTGGAGAATTGAGTAAACTTTACATATTTAAACCACTTTCACTGTTATAAACAAAATAAATTTGATCAATTCTAAAGACGGCAGGCAACAATTCATATTCTTATTTTAGACCCTCTGGATATAATAAACCGGTCCTGACCAAGCTGTGAGCTCGGTGTGATCATAGAGGCAGAACGCCCTTTTTACACCACCTCCTACAGAAGAGGCGCTTTCCACCTGTCGTCGACAGAAAACAGAGAAAGCATATACAGATGTATACATACGCACGCCTATTTCTGTCTTTCTCGAAGGAAAATAAATAATGGCTTGCTAACAGATTGCCATCCAGACTATTTCACGCTGGGAAATTGTATGATATTGAATAGGATATGAGATAAACTTCATATTTAGATACTTTATGGTTTTTTGCTCTTATTGGAAAAATTTATCGTAACCCTATTTTCCATTTTGAGATGATCTTAGGATTAATATTTGATTTTAATTAAATAAAAAGTCGTATTTTTATAATAAATCGGAAAAAATTTAACATAAAACAAAACATATTTGAATTTTGGCGAATATTCCACAGATCATACTTTCAACTCAGAGAAAACTAATAATGTGTTTTTTTTTATACTATACACTAGCTGACCCGGAAAACGCTGTTTTGCCTTATAAATTATTTCTAGTTTCTAGATAAATTCTAGATAAGGGAATATTGTAACAGAATTTATTTTGACCCTAGGATTGTTAGTATAATTTGGATATAATATTAAGTAAATTTGTACCTGTTATGTAATTTATTTAATATTGTTACATAATAAAGTATATGAAATTCCTAAGTGTAGATATTGTATAGTTCCTTATAGGTAATGAAATGTCTTTCTGAGAGTTTTGTTTCATTTTTGCTTTAACTGTCAGCCCAAAGGTTTTGTCTACTTTGCTACCTCATTCGGTTAAGGGTACTGTGCTGTAACCATCTATTTTTGTTCACCATCATGACAAATTTGTTGATAGACTACTGTCAGACCAGAGTTTTTTGTGATTATTCTGCCACTATCAGTCCGGATAAATAGTGCTGTCTGTATCCCACTAGGTCATAAGATCTTGACAAAAACATTCAAATAACTAAAAGGTTGCTAGGTAAGTTGTTGTGTTAGCGTCCACTTGTTGAAAACTTTTGCTAAAAAGGTTATTTAGTATTAGCTATTTTTGTTTCTTATTTTGGGTATAATTGGGGTTCTCTATGTGGTTTTTACTCTAGTTTTAAGTAACCGTGGGGCTATTGTGTGTACATACCTGTGTGTCTCTCGATAGTCCAAAAACAGCCCGCTTCAGTCTGACAGGTACTATAACTTGTTAGGGTGTTTATATGGAAAGCATAATAATATCCTTGAGAAATCCTCTAAAATATTTCAGCTTGATAAATTCTATAATTTATTAGGAAGTTTGATTCCTTGAGATAATATTCTCTAAAACATATTAATAGTAATTAGAACAGATTGTATGAAGTTGTTTAATTCATACCTGTTTAGAGTGTTTAGTAGAAATGTATTATCTTGTTTTGCTAAGTTAGTATAACCTTTTATTTTGGTTATTAACATCTGATGGTTTACAATAAAACTTTTTTTGTAAGGTATTACACAGACTGAGAATATCGAGTTTTACCCATTCTCATCAGTAGAATTACGATTAAGCACTTTTGTAATTAATTAAAGTCGTTTCATCATTCATAATAAAATATGTTTGGTTATCAGTTCTTCTTTCTTCTGTTTTGATTTTTCTCACAGGAGACGTCCGCTGTGTCGTTCCACGAGCCGGTGTGTTCTGTACGAATGACAAGTTAGTTTTGTCGCTCCGATTATCATGAGGAATTGTTAGAGCATGTGAAAGACACTGTACTCATGTCTATTTGGCGATTTCTGTCGTTTTGGACTCCTCACTTCTGATTTTGACTTTTAAATGTCTGCATGATTAGCAGGTGTGAGTGACGATTTCTAATTTAATATATGGTAATTTGAAACCATCACAGATTGTGGAGATTAAGAAGTTCGTCTATTATTATTTAAGAAGCCTCTGATAGTTATATTTTGGAGTTTCGCACATTTTGATGGAAATGTGGTATTTGTGATGTATCATGCTTTTTAACCTGTTAAGGGAGTTTTAAACCTGTGGTTACAGCTTTTTGGAAGAAGTGTACAGGTTGTTTAGCTTATTGGAAGATTATTAAAAACGTCGATTCATTTTGGAAACGCTCTCAAATTGAGGTAAATGAGATTATTTTACATTTCTCTTGTAAAGCATTTCTAGACCTATTTTTTTGTATATTAACTTTCTATTACGGAAAAGGGGTATGGGAGGTTTAGATCTGCAATTTTCAGTAATTCAATTTTACTGTAAACATGATATTTTGTTTATTTTTACAGTTCAGAAACTTTGTGTTTTTTTTAGTTAATCTTTTTTTCTTTGTACCTAAGAATATCAGTTCCTACTAGTTTTTGGAAAGTATTGGGAAGGGATCTGAAGGTTCACTTCATGTACTAATACTTGATGGTATTTTTAGGGCAGTTTTCAGTATCTGGAGATTTCTGTGTCTGGATCTTTAGTAATTGGGGTTTTATATTTACAATCTAGAACACCAATCCCTGGTTTGGTAAGGATTTGAGACTGTACAGCTTGGATTCGTATGTAGAAGTCTGTAGCAGTTTGTTTTGATTATTCAAAAATGACTTGAGGAGCCAAAAAAAAACGGAGGAGACTTGATAAGTTTTTAGTTTTATTTAACTTACTTTTTAACTTACATTTAACTTTTGCGGCTTTGAAATATTGATTAATAAAATTCTTGATGCAATTTTCATTTAAATCTATTAACTAAATAATAATAATTTTTCACTTTAAAGTTGATTAAACATTTTGTAAATGCCTATGTACAATATTTGTGCATATTTTTTTTAAACTTAAAGCAGCTATGCTGTAGTATTGTAACTTAATTTACCCATCTGTTGTTAGCCTTGGATCCAACGCCTATAACTTGAGGTACTTCCCTGAAGTAAAGTTTTATTCATCTGCGTAAATGGCAGATTGTCATACATAGGTATATTTTCATTTTTTTTACTACTTTTATGTGATTAAATAAGTAATAACATTACTTAATAATTTTAAATAGTCTGGGGGGAAATAGTCCAAAATTTTTTTTTAAATAGTAAAGGGGATTAAGGTTGTAATTTGTAACTTGACTATAAATTTTAAAATTAGTACTGCGGTCTAAATTTTATCCGACGTGTAAACATATGTTTTTAACATTTACTTTTCATATTGAAACCAAGTGTGGTTCTTCGCACATTTTTATAAATAAATGAATGTAAGTTAAGGTTGTCTTTTTATTTCCTACTTTTGTCAGATTTAGGTTAGGGAAAGAAACTTTATGGCTCAGATAAATCTGACTGGCGCCTGACAATTAAATTTTATAATTTTAACATCCCAGATTTGAGATATACTCACTCCCGTCTCCACTTGAGTAAACCGGAGCTACAACGGTTGACATCTGGGACAACCGAAACTTGATAAACCTAATTTGAGGTTATAATATAAAAATAACAAACGCCAAACAATATTATTTTCAAGTTATTATAGTTTATTACTTATAATTACATATCACCATATTAATTACGAGAGTAACCCTAACAAACAAAATCAATCTCTTAATGCTATAGCGTGAACAATGTTTTTTTGTTAGCCCATCTTTAGCGAGCACAAACAAACTGGACGGTTTACCCACTCGAGAGCATGCTACGTATAATTGCCTGTGTGAAAAACATGGTGTACTCAAATCTAAGCCACAAATAGACATCGTTTGGCCTTGGGATTTGTTGATTGTCATTGCAAATGCCCATCTAATCGGAAACTAAATTCGTTTGAATGGAATTGGCACATATGTAGGTATGATAAAAAATCCGTGGTATTAATATATTTTCACCTTTGAACTTGCCATTTAAAATGTTTTATAACGTTTTTCATTAATTTTCGAATGACTAATCGCGTACCGTTGCACAGCCGTGGCGGGTTTAAATTACGAAGGAAGATAATTGGAGATCCAGCTTTCAATTGTAAATTATGCGGTGGCATGCCCGGCAAATCCAATGAGTTCAAAAATTGTGTGGGAAAATTGACAGCTTCGCTGGCATAGCAAGCTGTCTCAATAGATTTGTATGATACCAAGTTCCCTGGCAACAACTGTTGTACCTTCAAATTTACATTGTTGACCTCTGGATATATAATACGTTAGAATCTGGATCCGTGCCGATAGTAAGTAAACCATTCAATGGTTCAGGTGGTGTTTTAATTGCAACACATCCCAGGTAGCTCATTTTTGAATTGAGAGCATGACAATGCGGACATTCCTTATCCATAGCACCAACTACCACTTTTGAATGAGCATAATATTCAATATCGGACTCGTACTGGAATGATATATGCAAAAATGAATCAGATGTAAATGCACGATGTACCTGGTAGCGTTGTTGGTCATTTGTTCTTCGTCTATTAACCGTAAAACGGCGTGATTGTCGTTGTTCTAAACGTATAACTTTATTGCGCTCAGCTCGTGTATTTTCTGATTGTTCTTGACACAATTGCTGAATGCTCTCACGTGCATCAGCATTTTGTTGCTGGACTTGTTCTCCGGTTCTTTGGGATCTTTTATCTCTAACACTTCTGGACCTACTTGTATTACGGCTCAAATCAGCCCCTTTGCGTTTTCTTGGCATTGCTTAGTCTACAAAACGCATATAAATAGAATTAATGAAATTACGAAAATATTAGTTTTATGGAAAAAAATTTGAAACAATAGTTGTGAAAAATTCAAAACTGTGTAGGGAATGAAAGAAGTCGTGTGTGAGTGAAACAGGAGACGGGCTTCAGTTTATGGTATAATGTGGCATTTCTTTTTCTTCTTTGGGTGCCGTCTTCAATGAAGGTTGGCGATAACCTCAGCAAAGGTGGCATTTCACTCACCAGTAAAGGTGCGGCAAATTTGAAGAATCTAAGATTGGTAACACTAAGCATATATTAGGAATAAACTTTAATAATAAAAATAAATGTTTATTTGTTTAAAAAACATTTTAGATTTTTAATCGAAGTACAGTTAAAAACACTATAATTGATCAGTTATCGAGCGAGATAAAAAATGATTAAATAACTAAAATAGCCGTAAAAAATAGGGGTTGATGATAAAAAAGTAAAATATTAGGGTTATATGTATTTTTTTAATTTAACATTATAAAAAAACACAAATAAAAAATTTCGTCGAAAAATTAAAAAAAAAAATTAAGGGTGAACAACCCTGATCACTTAGGGGTATGAAAAATAGATAGTAACCGATTCTCAGACTTATTGAAGGCGCATATAAAATTTGGTAAAGATCGGTAAAGCCGTTTCGGAGAAGTACGATAAATACCATTGTTACAGGGAAATTTTATATATTAGATTTAGACTAAAATAGCCATACAAAATAGGGTTGATGATAAAAAAGTAAAAGTTTAGGGTTGTATGTATTTTTTTATGCAACATTATGAAAAAAATAAAAATAAAAAATTTCGTCGAAAAATTAAAAGAATAAAATTAAGGGTGAACAAACCTTATCACTTGGGGGTATGAAAATAGATATAATAGTAGCCGATTCTTAGACCTATTGAATGCGCATATAAAATTTGGTAATGATCGGAAAAGCCGTTTCGGAGAAGTACGATAACTAACATTGTGACAGGGAAATTTTATATATTAGATTTCGTTGAATTTAAATTTCAATCAAGTAACTCATGCTAGGGCGATCGAATAAGTACCTAGCCTACAAATTACAAACGAATAATGAATGTGCCTGTGTGAGTCCATTTCAAATAGGTAAAAAGAAATAAATAAGAATTTCTCATAATCAGTTTAATTTAACTACCAAGACGACCGGTTTCACATTACCTGATCCTACTCCGTTCCTTGTTTCTACCCTCAATCTATATACATTATGATACCCCAGATTCATTTTATCATAATATGTTTCATATAGCATCCATTATCACCACGTGGTATTTTAAAGTAGCCTTAGCATTATGTAAAATCAACAATTTATTCCAGAATTTCATATGCAACCAATAAAATTATTAATACATTTAATTACACCTTAAAAGTTAAAAGTATGCCAATATTATACATATTACCTTAGAGTTTTCATTAAAATGTTTTAAAAATTTTATTAATATCTGTCATTCAATTCATTGTCATACAACTATCACCTTAATAAAAAAATTTCAATAAATTAGCAAACATTTAAAAAACATATGTCTTGAATAAATATAAATACCTTTTAAAGAATTAAGTAATACAGAACATCACTCTCATTTAACAAACAATCACATTATACTTTACTCCTACTTCATTGGTTAATATCTATCTCTTCAAGAAACTTCTCCGCTAATTATCAAACAGTTACAATAGTAAAACCGAAGATCCCCCATCATCAGCAATTACAAGATAGTTTGAACTATGTTCTCCAAATCATTAATAATTAAATCTTGTACCGGCATGTAAGCAATGTTTTGTTTATTTACTAATTTATTACATTTCAATAGACTATTTTATACCATTTTTTTTATTTAGAAATTACAGCCCCATCCACTATAATGGTTATTAGCGGCGGCTACAGAATTACAAAATTAGAGTTTATAAAATATTCCTATAGATTTAAAGAACTCTACAATATTACTAGCTAAGAAATTAGTGCCTAATAAATTACTTAAACTGTTAGGTATGTTAAATTTAACACGAAAATTGGCAAATCTATGGCATTCAATTAATAAATGGTTAACGGTTAATTGTACATTACATGTTTCGCAAATAGGTGGATCACTTTTGGAAAATAAATATTAGTGAGTAAGTCTCGTGTGTCCAATTCGTAATCTCGTTATCACCAATTGTTCTCTTCTGTTCCTTGTTGAGGGTTCCCAAGTTGCAACGTCATTTTTAATTTGCTTCAGTGATGTTTGAGAAGATTGCCATTTGTTTTTCCACTTGCACAAAACTCGATTCTTTATAAAAACTTTCACTCGCGCACTGGTCCGCACTTTCGTTGCCAGCAATGCCAATGTGGGATGGAATCCATATAAATCTGATTATCCTAGAATTTTCTTGACCTTGTATGAGTTCTAGTTTTATCAGTTTCTCAAGGGGACCTTTAGGATAGATCTGTTTAAGGGTTTTGAAGCGCTCTTAGTGAGTCACCTAATATAACAGAGTTAGGAATGTTATTAGAATTATATGTATGATAGCTTTAAAACACTGCATAGAGCTCACCGGAGTAAATCGAAAAAAAGGTTGGGAGACAAAATTGATATGTATTGTTTGGAGTAACGAAAGCAGCACCTACTCCTTTATCACACTTAGATGCATCTGTAAATATTTTATAGCAATGTTGGTAATGCTGACGGAGAATTGGATCTAAATTATTCTTAATTTTTGCGTGGCAGTTAATATGTTTGTCGTATTGGGTTAAACCAGTGTTTATATTTGGGCATTAATTATCCAAGGAGAGGAGCTTGGAATATTGATTGGAAAGGTTATTGGGAATTCGATATTAAGACATCTCAGGTAACACCGTACTCGCTCATAGTAAGGCTTATGTTAAGTACTATTGGTAAAGAGATTTATATGTTTATTAGTGAACGTATTATTAAATAGAGGTTTGTTTACATTTGAGGCTATTGACGTTGCGTGTGATAGTGTTAAGGAAATTCGGCAGTGATATAATGAAGGCTCCCCACTTTCCGAATATAAACTTTCCACCGGTGATGTTCGAAATGCGCCAATAGAGAGTTTAAGTGCTGTGTTGTGCATAGAATCTAACTGTTTTAACAATGTGGGGGAAGCAGAGGCGTAAGCTATTGATCCATAATCAATTTTTGATTAATTAGAGTTCTGTAGATTGTAAGTAAGGTAGAGAGATCAGAGCCCCAATATATATTCTACAGTGTTCTCATTAGGTTAAGTTTCTTATGACAACTCAAAACTAATTGTCTAATATGTTCCTTCCAAGTAAGTTGAGTATCAAAACACATACCTAAAATTTTACACATGATTTGAAGCATAGCGATGTATTGAAAAACTTGAGATTGGGATTATTTGAGAAGTTCTTTTTTGAGAATACCATACCAACGGTTTTTTGTAACTGAGAATTGAAAACCAGTACCGCAAGACCACTTTTCGAGTTTTTGTAAGAAATTTTGCAAAATTGTTGAAGTTAAATTAATATCTTTGCCTTTTACATAAACCACCAAGTTATCTGCATATAAACGTGCTTTTAAAGGTTTTTGGATGTTTTTAATTATGTCATTAATAGCAATTAAGCAAAGTGTAGGACTAATAATTGAGCCTTGAGGGATACCGTTTTCTTCCTCCTGCATTTCGGAATAGTAGTTGTTAAGTTCGAATGTTCTAGATGCCAAGTCAGCCTTGAGTTAATAATTTTTTCTAATAGCTTGCCCATTGCACAAGTTAGGCTTATCGGTCTATAGGAATTGGGGTCTAGACGAGATTTTTGGCTTTTGAGAAATGGGAGAATGATAGATTTTGACCAAACAGATGGGTACTGGTGTCGCTGCCAGATGAAGTTTAAATAATTGAAGCATGTAATTTTTAGCAGATGTGGGTAGATGTTTTAAGAAAATAGTTGGGATATCGTCAGGCCCAGTACTTGTTTCTTTTAGATCGTTCAGTGAGTTGTTTAGTTCTTGTAACGTGAGAGGAGCGTTTAATGGAATGTTATAGTTTTCTAAACAGAGGTTGGACCTTTCGGCCTGTAGTTTATTTTCCAGAAATACAGTGTCAAAATTTTCATTGGAAGACATTTCTCTGTAGTTTTTCAGCTAATATATTGACAATTTGAAGAGGAGAGGTGACAATTTGATTACCTATTTTGAGACTAGATATTGGGGATGACTCCTTTATGCCAGAAATTTTGCGTATTTTCTTCCATACTTCTCTTACAGGAGTGGAGCTGTTAATGCTAGAGACATATTGGGCCCAACTGAATTTTTTTGGTTTGATTTAATAAACGTTGAGCTCTAGCCTTCATTTTTTTGTAGTTAATTTTATTTTCCAGTGTTTTATGCTTCTTAAATCTATTAAAAGCTGTTTTGCTGGCACGTACTGCGTCGTTACATTCCGAATTCCACCAAGGCACAGGAACATGATTTTTAATGGGCTTTGTTTTGCCGATGAAGAGCTCCGCACTCTGCAAGATGACACTATTAAAAGTACCTAAAGAATCGTTTATATTATCATTCAGTATGAGACTCTCCAAAGCCTTATCTATATGATTTTTAAAATCGATCCACTTAGCCGAATTTATATTCCATTTGGGCAAGAAGGATATTGGGCAAGGCTGATCTGAGAGATTCTCAATGGTAATAGGGTGATGGTCGCTACCATATGTATACTCGAGAACAGTCCAAGAGAGACGCGGAGCAAGAGCTGGATCACAGAAGCTCAAATCTATCACGCAGGATTCTCCAGTGCAGATGTTGAATCTTGTGGTTTTATCTATAACTATAGCTTTAATGTTACTATTGACAGGAAAAACATTTGCAACCAAAGATTTTTTGACAATTGTCATAACACCACCTGAAGAGAAATTATTGTCATGTACTCTATCTTTTCTAAAAATGCTAAAATATTTGGAATTATAGTATTTTTTGGGGGTTTAAATTTGTTTCTTGGAGAC